AACAGCAGAGAGAGAGAGAGCAGAGGGAGACGGGACAAAACAAACCTTGTGGGGGAAAAATGCATGTAGTGACTCGCTGCTGTGGTGTATTAACACATAGGGAGGGAAAATGGTGAGTGGAGAAGAAGTGCTAAGAGGACCTGCAGCAGTCTGAGCCTATAAGAGCAGGATAACTAAAGGATGGCCTATGGTCACCTGATCCTGTTTCCTGGATGTCTGTTTCCTGAATCCAAACTGGGAGCTTGTTCCACAGGAGAGGGCCCTGATCGCTGAAGGCTCCGGCTCCCATCAACTTTTAGAAACTCTAGGAACCACAAGTAAACCAGCAGTCTGAGAGCAAAGTGATCAGTTTGTATAATATGGTACTATGAGGTCTTTATGAATTAAATAAACAGGGCTTTAAGTTGCGGCTCATGTCTAAACAGGTGTGTATTTTGTGCACAGGTAGGTCTCGATCAGATCCTGTTTAAATGTATTTTACTGGAATAATTATAACTTCATGCCTACATGATAAGTCGTCTTTGTGGCTAAGGAGTAAAAACACTCATTGGCATATAAACAGACATATTCCTCTCTGTGTATTGCACTGGATATATACTTCTGTGGGTGTACACAGAAAACATACACCTTGCTTGATTTGTATTTTTAATGACAGAAGAAGTATAAACTGAGACTGCAGTGATCATCATTTCTTCCATCAGCAGGAAGATAATGTGACGCACAGATGAATAATCAGCTCCCTCACATGACGCTTAATGAGATGAAAACACTGAAATAAATTAAATAAATGAAAGCGCATGTTGGCATCTGATTATTAGGAGAGATTTTCTATCAAATTATACAATCAATTTAATTTCCTGGATGGATAATACTTTATGATGTTAACTGTAACTTTAACTGTAATTAAGCGTTCAGTTATGTTGCAAAATGTTTAACATAATTTTTAAAGCATTAGAAAATTAGAATTAGATAATATGTACCGATTGCTGTCACTCACTGTGAGCCAGACATGGTACTAATTCAAAATATTTAAGTGAGTTATTTGAACACTCAGTTGCAAAAGTTATTCAGTTATTCTTTCTGTGCACACATCAAGGAAATGTGGTCAGTGCTGACACTGGTCAGGAGACTAACTATAAAACTAGAGAATGGGAGGACCTACACTTCTTTAAAGTGGAAAAACATCAAAGTAGCAAGTTAAATGCTCAAAAAAGGTCAATTGGCCTCCTTTTCCTTGATAACTGACTATGAATGACTCTCGATGTGATTCCAACTGGGGTAAGATTTGCTGACTCACTAGAAGCTTTAGAAATAATCCACAACTACCCAGATGGTCTACTCCAGTTCAGTGAGTCAGTTTCTGCCCTCACATATCAAACTCCATACTGTAGTAAAATGCACCAGAAAGGATTACTGTTGGAGTGAGTGACCCCTCCTTAATGTTTTGGTCTCATTTACTGTCATCTCCTTCCATCTGGGCATGGATGCAGAGAAAATTATCCTCTTCCAAACTCTCATCTATCCATGGATCTGTATGTTGTTGAGCATTTATGTTGTGAAACCACCTGAAAATAGTTGCTAATGTTACAGTTTAAATCAACAGGTTTTAAACTGAATATAAAACTATGTATTTAAAATAAAAATCTTATGTCTGTAATGTCTGAATGCGTGGATGCATTAGCAGCATGCATCCTTGCATGCACTTCAAACACTCCCTTAAGTCCTGATGGTGGTCCAGCTGTTGCTCTGTTGGAAAATGACACCTTACATAACAATTTTAAACAAACATGACCGGCTGAGTTGCTCAGCTCAGCGCTGATCTGGGTGTCAGAGAAGCCACTATGAATACTAAGAGTCATTTCAGGGTAAATGTTAGTGTATTTGCAGAAAAACGAGCAGTGATTTGTACATACCTCATTTTAACAGATGTTGGGGTGGTTGACAGCATTCATGAATGACCTTGATAGTTGGTTTTTTTTTTTATTTAAAAAAAAAGGAGACCAGATGGCAGTCTCTGCTCGGGGTTGTTTGTAGTGACTCGTTTGAATTTGTTCTGTACTTATTTGGATCACATAGTTGTTGAGATGCTGATAAAGATGCTGCAGTCACTTAACTGATTGAAACATCTGCTTTGAAAATAAAAAAAATTAACTGAAAAAAACATCATTTTATACTGTGCGTGATTTTGGCTGTAGCACTCACCAGTGATGTGACTCTGCTGTGGTCCAGAGAACTAATATATGCATTCGTTATCCTAACTTGTCATCTTAGTAGTTTCCAGCTGACAGTGGGCAACATGCATGGTACACCCGGACAGGGTCGACATCTGCGACAGTACTGATGAGAAAGGGACACAGAAAAGCATCCAACCCATGAAGGCACAGTGAAAATATGCAAGCGTCAGTCAGATTTGAACCCTGAACTTGCTTGCTTACCGCTGTTCCACAGTTTGTTTGTTTGTTTTTAACATAAAGAGAAGAACGTTATAAACCTAATTGTTAGTACTGGATAATGTCTTCTAGCTGTTTTACTTCTTGTTCTCACCTTCTCATGCATCTATTTTCTGTGTTCTTCATCCTCTAAATTCATCTTGTTTTGGATTCACCATTATTTCTTTTACATTTCCAGACTCTTCCATTATTTTTGGTCAGCATGTTCATTTAGAATATAAGCAAGCTGTTGACAAGTTCATCTCTGAACGTGTCAACAATCCCAAACTCTAAACAGACACAAACACGTCCCCTCTGTCTAAATCATCCCATTACAGAAATCGGCTTGTGTTATTCACTGCACGAATAAAGCAGCAGACAATTGTTTTAGTATATAATCTTACTTGAATGCAGCCTCCATTAAATGTATTGTTTTGTTTTGTAGGATATCTTCATGCCGGCTGAAAGCATCAGTCGGTATCACTAATCGTGCAAATATCATGAATAGTGCATTTAATATTTGTCTGTTTTTGTACACAGGGAACAGTTTTTTTCCAGTCTTTTTTAAAATAAAAGGAGTTAAAATGGAACAGGAAAAAAAAATCCCACATGATTTAGTATTTTATTGTCAGTATGGTGTCTTGTTTAATGGCTGCATCAGGCAGTTTTGGCAAATGGCTGACCCAGTTTTCCACTGGCTTCTAGAAAGCTTGTTATTATGATTACAGCTTACATAAATGTGCTGACAGGGAAGAGTGGCTTCTGGGAAGAATCCAAAATGACAAAATGGGGCTCCTGAAAGATTTCATTTTGCTATGATCAGCAAAACAGAGTGAAATTTTAAGGTTGCAGCTCTTGATTAAAACCGTGTGGTTCACGATTTGATACCAGTTTCCACAGTGGAGAGACTTAAAGCTGGAAACAAGATCCAGCTGTGGTGTTAAACGGTGTCATCTCTGGTACTGGTCCAGGCTGAGCTGCTGACTGAGAACATTCAGTGCAAACATGATGATCTCAGTTGTGACTATTTTAAAATGCTTTAATTTGTGTTATCAGAAAGGTTTGATCCTATGAACATGATATATATCCGGGGGTCACTAGCTATATTTACCAGAAGAGTTCTGACATAGTTGCCACTTTATTTTTTTATTATTATTTTTTTTAAGAAAATGCTCTACAATGACAAGCTAAAACATTAGTTTTCCATGAAAATATTTAACTAACAATAAATAATATAACACGATATATAAACAAGTTCATTTGCTTCATAATGCCAACTTTAACTTTTTATACCTACTTTTTTAACTAAATGATGTGAATACTACTACACTACTACATCCCCAATTCCCCAAATTTGAGAAAAAAAAATGCAATCATTTGTAAATCTCATAAGTGGATATTTTATTCACAATAAAACATTTTTTCGAATTTGATGGAAGCAGCGCATCTTAAAAAGTTGGGACAGGAGCAACAAAAGGCTGGAAAAGTTAGTGGCCCTCAAACAGCTCACAACAACTGGCAACAGATCAGTTTTGGGACTGGGTGTAACAAGAGCATCTTAGAGAGGCAGAGTTCCTCGGAAGTAAAGATGGGCAGAGATTCACCAATCAGCAAAAAACTGCAATCTACAAATGGATGAACAATTTCAAAATAATGCTCCTCAATGTAAACTGTAAACAGTACGTAATATCATTAAAAGATTCAGAGGGTTTGGAGAAATCTTTGTGTGCAAGAGACAAGGCAGAAAATCAGTATTGGATGTTGTGTATTTTGTTCTTGGGCAGCACTGCTTTAAAAACAGGCATGATTCTGTCATGGAAATCACTGCATGGGCTCAGGAACACTTCCACAAATCACCGTGCCATCCACAAATGCAGATTAAAGCTCTGTGATGCAAAGAAGCCACATGTGAATATGATCCAGGAACATTGCTGGCTTTTCTGGGCCGAAGTTCGCTTAAAATTGCCTGAGGCTACAAGGTGGAAACTGTTCTGTGGTCAGACAAATCAAAATTTGAAATTCTGCTTGGAAAACATGAAACAGAAGAGAGCAAGACCATGAAAAGCTTCTGATAGTATCCATGGTTTGGCAGCTTACTTTTATTTGACATTTTACACAGTGCTCCAACTGTTTTCTGGTGCTGGGTTTGTATTTCCTTTAATGCATAACAAAATAAATCAAATTATATAGTGTTGAATAAAAGAATGTTAAAATAGGAGAGATCTTTTAAAAAAATGATTATTATTTTACAAAAGTATTGCTTTAACTACATTTTCCTGTGAATTTGCACAACAAATGCACGCAAATCAACTTTTACTATAACATTTCCAGTTGAATTTATTTAGCCTTTCCTTGTGAGAACAGACCAGCTCTGGTATTTAAAATCATTTAGTGCCCGTAGGTACAGTAGCTGCAGCTACTGAAGTTACAGTGTGGGATAAAGACAGGAAATTGAACATTTTTGTGCAGAATTCTGTCTGCAACATTTGACCTATGAGGATATACCCTGCAATTAGCTCCTGGACTTTATTCATGTTCTCTTCCCCCCCTTCTTTCTTGCTCCTTTTGCAGCAGAGTCGTACTCTGTGGCAGGCAGTGATGGCAGTATCACTCCCTCAGTGGGCTCTGTGCCTCACCAGGCCTCAGGCGGCTCCAGTCCCTGCTCGCACTCCTCGTCTGGAGGCTCACGGCACCCTGTCACCACTCTGAAGAAATGGCTTACCAATCCCGTCCGCAAGCTGAGCTCTGATGCCAGAAGTGGAGCGGGGAAAGGCGAGAAGCAGATGTTTGGGTCAGATGGGAGGCAACCAATGTTGATCCTTTCCCACACTGAAACTCAGCAAAGGCCTATGGAAGTGCACAATAACTACACCATCCTCACCTCTGGAGACACAGTTAGTATTTAAGACAGACATATAAACTCATTTACGGTACTGAGATATGCTATATTAGTATAATGATATATTTATTCCTAATTACAGTTTATTTTTGTTGCCAGGAGTGGAAAGATGGCCTGTTGAATCCAGCAGTTCATTCTCCTTTACATCCAGCTTCTCCGAGCTACTTATCGGACCTCCTGCAAGGCAGAAACGCACAGAGTCTAGTAATGATGTTACGCCTAACCTGTCTTTACACACCTATAAATGCAACTGATTCAAAGCCTCTTTCTTTCTCAGCAGTTAAACACCATAAATAGGTCTCATAGAAGTCATAAAAGTAACTCTGCTAGAAGCACACTTTTAAAATTCATCCATATCAGACACAGGCAGTAAATGTTTCTTTTGCATGCTGTGAATACAACCTGGTACATTGATGCACATGAAGAAAAAAACAACTAACAATTTTGTTGTGTATTTGTGCAATAAATACTTGAAAGGGTAGTTATGATGGTTCTCAGAAGAAGCAAGACCCAAACATAGGACACACAAGACACAGGGAAAACTCAAAATCCAAGAAAACAAATCCTGAAATGGGCAGAAAAAAGGAAAAAAATCCCAAAAGTGATACACTGAGAAATCTAGGAACAAACATGCGCACAAAAGCTTGACTATTATCCAGACAAGTCAGTCTGGTAAGTGAAACGTGGACAGCTGATGGCATATATTCTCAGGGGACTGACTGACTAATTGAATGCAGGTTGTCCAGAAAAAAACAGAACAAAGGTTGGAAGTACAACTGAGAGGTCGTAACCAAGGATAACAAAATAAAACAGGAAATAACTCACACAGTAAGCACAGCAGGAATGCCAAAACATGACAATACTAATTCATTTATTATTCCACGAGTTATCAGCCCATCATCGTCATCTAAATGATCTGTGTCACTTGTGGGCAGTTAAGGACTGAACATTGATCCACAACATAACACATTAAATGATGACTACGTTAGAGGTATAATTGAATTCACACACAAACATACATGTGTGCATGAAGAGCTTTGTATTCCAACCCATATTTGGTGATTTAAAAATCGGAAGTATCAGTCAATATTTTTGAATCTTTCATACATAAAAAACAATGAGCTCATTTCTTTAACATGGTGGCTCTATATTGTAGTGGTTTATGTATTTGCAGAACAAGCAAAAGACCCCGGAAGTAGACATAAACTCTTATTTTCCTTGGGGATTGCAACAGGAAAGGTATCTGGTGTAAAATATATATACATTTTTACATTTTTGTTGTTAACGAGTCCTTACTAAAATAATGTGACAATGCAATTTAAAAAATAGTCTTGTTTAATTGTCACAACAAGTTTGAATTACTCATTTACAGTCTACAGCACACTCTCTGTTGCTGCTAATTATATTCACAGTATTCACTCACTATTTCTTAAGGGATTCGCTAACTTAGCTTGTAGCCAACTTGGTAGCTGCATGGCCCTCTTGCACCTTCCTTCTGTGTGTCAGATGTTTAGTTACTCCTCGGTGTCCTTTAGTAATAATGATACTTGTAATAAATGTAGCCTCTTTGCAGTTTTTTTTGCAGGTAGCTTAGCCCCGTTAGCTCTCAGAAGATGCTGTAGGTATTACGGTTACTGCACTGCAGTTATTTGTATCATATCTATATAACAGATTCCAATTTGTTCATGTAAATGGAGAGTCCTCTTCATACACTGACGTTAATTACGGAGTTCCACAGGGTTCAGTGCTAGGACCAGTTCTGTTTACATTATACATGCTTCCCTTAGGCAGTATCATCAGAAGGCATAGCATACATTTTCACTGCTACGCAGATGACACACACCAATTAGTTAAACTGCAGAAATGTCTTAAAGCAGGGGTGTCAAACTCAAATACACAGTGGGCCAAAATTCAAAACTGAAACAAAGTCGCGGGCTAACGTTAATATTTATTGAAATATATTTAATCCTCCAGATATAAGAATGAATCTTTTCTTATGGACTCAAACACGTTTTGCTGTAAAACTGAATATGGAACAAGCAAAGCTTAATACTAAACAATATATATATTAGCTGTATAATACCAGTAGGCCAGCTCTAATAGTAATTTGGTATGGCTTCGCGGGCCAAATGTAATTAGGCTGCGGGCCAAATTTGGCCCACGGGTCAGAGTTTGACACCTATGTCTTAAAGACATAAAGACCTGGATGGCCTCAAATGTTCTGCTTCTAAATTCAGATAAAACTGAGGTTATTGTACTCGGCCCTGAAAATCCTAGAAATGCTGTTTCTACTCAGATACTTACTCAGGATGGCATTACCCTGGCCTCCAGCAACATTGTGGGGAATCTTGGAGTCATTTCTGACCAGGATATCTCCTTCAGACTGCAGGTTTACTTGTGGCTCCTAAATAATTTAAAAGCAGAATGGGAGGCAGAGCCTTCAGTTTTCGGGCCTCTCTTCTGTGGAACCGGCTTCCAGTTTGGATTCAGGAGATAGACACACTCTCTACTTTTAAGATTAGGCTTAAAATTTTTCTTTTTAATAAAGTATATAGTTAGGGCTGGATCCGGTGACCCTGAATCCTTCTTTAGTTACGCTGCAATAGGTCTAGGCTGCTGGGGGATTCCCATGATGCATTGAGTCTTCTTCAGTCACCTTTTTCACTCACTATGTTTATACACCTCTCTTCATCTATTTTTTTTTTGTTATTATTAATCTCTGGCCCTTTTCCACAGCATGTCTTTGTCCTGTCATCATTTACTCACGCCAACCAGTTGCATCAGATGGCTGCCCCTTTCTCAGCCTGGTTCTGCCGGAGGTTTCTTCCTGTTAAAAGGGAGTTTTTCCTTCCCACTGTCGCCAAAGTGCTTGCTCATAGGGGGTCATATGATTGTTGGGGTTTTCTCTTATTTCTTTGTACTGCTGTAGGGTGTTTACCTTACAACATGCAATGCCTTGAAGCAACTGTTGTTGTGATTTGGCACTATACAAAAGTTGAATTGAAATTCAATTAAAAGCTGGAATACACCCTTGACATGCCACCAGTCTGTAGTGGGGGGCTAGACATAGCTCTATAGAGTATCATTCAGATTTATCTTATGTTAGCTCCCTGATTAAAATGTAAGTTCTTAAAGTAATGGTTCTCCTCTGTTAGAGACTCTGCATGTGCCTCTCTTTCCTGCTCTCAGGCTGTGTGTCAGACTGTTGAGAAAGCCTAACAGAAAACAGCTTTTAGCCAGAATATGAGAACTGAACAACAGGAGTACACCTGCCAAGTGTTAAGAAGATCAGATGAAAGATTCTTGAGAAACACAAACTCATATGCACACTCCAAGAGCCCTTCGTTTATTTTTTTTCCTCTGTGTATGTTACTAATTAAAGTATTTTGACTCTCGGACTGCAATTTGACAATCAAAAGAAAAAACAAGCAAAAAAAAAAAAAAAAAAACTACCTAGATTAAGCATCAACAGACCTGTAACATAGCTGGGTATAAAAATAGCATCTTAAAGACGCAGTGGGTCACCAATTTGCAAAAACGTGTGGAAAAATTTCAGAATAATGTTCCTCAATGTAAAATTGTAAAGACTTATTGTAAAGAGATGAAATATGTCATCGTCTACAGTCCATAATATCATCAAAGGGTCACGGGACAAATCAGAATTGTGTGTACTATATGAAAGATAGGCATGATTCTGTCATGGAAATTACTGCATGGGTCAGGAACACTTCTAGAAAACATTGTCTGTGAACACAATCTGACTTGCCATGGATGGATTCAGTTTAAAGCTCTATCATGCAAAATCAAATCAATAGAAACTCCGCTGCCTCTTCTGGGCCATAAAAAACATTTTATTAGACAGATTTTAAGGCAAATGTTTGATTTGTGAATTAAACAATTAATTGGGCAATTTGTTGGTTAAGAATATATTTTAAAAACACAAAAAACAGTAAAGTCCTCTGCACTTTCCCACAGATTTTCCATGGAGTGTCTCTTGTTATTAAATCTTCTGATAATGTAATGCAGAGCTTGTAGCAGATAATGAATAACTTAAAGCATAATTACACTTACACTGCACATGTCTCCATCTACATCCTGCCCATATAAAAGCACTCCTATTCATATACACCACCTGACCTTTGTGCATTATGACTCAATTTTGCTGCATTTTTCATGTGCACGCTCACACACAAATAAATATATAAAAGCACCGACAATATTTCTCAGAAACCCTACACTGTACTGAGTAATCTTTGAGAGGGAGTGGAGTAGATTGAATCCTGTGGGCTTTCGTTGATCGCATCTGGAAGTAATTAAGTAAAGAAAACAGCCTTTAACAGGGTTAGGGTTGAGGGCGGAGTGCATGCCAAAATTAGAAGAAGAGCCTCAAAGGCAAGGTGAGAAACAGGTCTGTGGATGTTGGACAGTTCTCCAAAGATGACAGAGTAAAGTTTTGTAAGCTTTGCAAAGGTGATAAGAGGAATTTTTAAATGATTAAATTAATCCTTTAACTCATAAAGCACATTATTTTTCTTAATAAATGAGTGCTCTCACTTTTAGCCTTTTTTTAACTCATGGCCCTGCAGAAAAATGTCATTGCTTAGATACCTGTAGCTTCATATTTATTTTCAGTTATTAACTGTTTACTCTGCTGCTGCCTGGGTTACTATAAACAGTCTTACTGTCCCTTTAAAAGAGTAGTTTAATAGTTTGGAAAATATATTGGATACATGGTTTGTATGGTCAGTATAACAAACATCCAAAAGGCAGTTAGCCTGGCGCAGAGACTAGTAACAACCACTAATCACCAGCATGTATGAGCAGCTCCATAAATTTGTTTGCACGCAAAAAGTCTGGACACTGTCAGGTGAATCGGGCCAGGATACTATGGAAAGTTGGGATGTTGTGTAATACATTGTCTAAAGTAGTAGTGCTTTGTACATGTGCTACTTGTACTTGCTGCTTTTTCTTTCAGTAATTTGAATAAATTAGAAAATTAAACTGTTTGCTGGAGAAGCCGCTGAGCTGCTCCCTGATCTCAGAGCATTACCAGTTATCTGACAGCACAACAGCAAGTCATTGCAGAACAGAGCATCCCTGCAAACCAGTTGAGCTCCACACATTTGAATCATTCTCCAAATATAAAATGTACATTTGATCTACTTGACAACATGTTCTGATTCTGCAATATGCTCTTGTTCACTGAGGCAAAAGATAAAAATTAGGATTCCAGTTAAATTCACATTAGATTACAGTGCTTTTAGGTGAAGAGTGATGTTTGTTACTTAACAGCTTTCTGTGCATTTTTCAGTTAGCAGGCTCTCAGTTACAGTATATGACTTGACAAACTGCTCATTATTAACCTTGCTGTCTGCCCAACACTCTCCTCAGCAGCACAGAAAATGTGCTTATTATTCTCAGGTTACTCAAAATTGCCCCACTGATGTGTTTCCCGCGGCGATTACTAACTGCTATACAAATAAACTTGCCTTGGATGTGCCGTGCATGAAGCCTAATGATTTTAGTGTGTGTGAATGGATTGCTCCACAGCACTGTGTTGCAGTGGGGGAAGAAGTAACAGAATTTTTAACTAGCATACAGATTAAAATACTGCTGTATCTACAATACTACTTGAATAAAAGTACCTAGAGTTACTTTTCTACTCTTTATTTCACAGTCATCCAGAGCTCTTTAACCAACTGACCTCTCTGATTGAATGTAATACTGTATGTTACAGAAATGCCAAAAGATGTAATGTTTTCCTTTTGTGTTTTAGAGTCAAAGCATCAACACTCTGCAACGGGAGGACAGCTGTACTGTAACCGATGACTCAACCAGCCAGTGTTCTGGTACAGTGGACAGTGAAGAAGAGAGAAACATTGCTTTAGAGAAGAGCATGTAAGTCTAAAGCATTATACCAAATACTGTAACTTCTCTAACTTCTTTATCCCCTCAGGATTGCTGAGGTCCATGGACCAGCTGCTCCTGGCAGTCCCAAAAGCCCCTTTGAAAACCACGGGCAATTGTCCGATTTCAATTATTGCCCCCAAATTGTGGAATGATCCCCTTGCTCTTTTATCATTTTTCCCTTTTATAGATAAAGGCTATGTGTTTGCCCTTGTTTCATGCCTTTATGCTGAGAGAACTGTGACTAACTATGATTGATATTTCGCACAGAGCCCTGAGATCATCATCATGTTTTTTAATATTTGTCTTTCAGATACGTGCTAACAGAGCTGATAGAGACAGAAAGGCTATATGTTGAAGATCTTGGACTTATAGTGCAGGTATGCCTCACCTCAAATGATCTACTTATTTGTATTTATATAAGAAACACCTGACATTGCTTAATTTGTACCAAAAGCAAAGGAGTTTATTTCCCGTATAGAAATAAGCAACTTAGATACATGTTTGTGTTTATACAGGGTTACATGGCCACCATGGGTAATCAGGGCGTTCCTGAGGACTTGAGAGGAAAGGACAGGATTGTGTTTGGAAATATCCACCAGATCTATGACTGGCATAAGGAGTGAGTCAGAATGTCTCCCCCCTGAGTTCCTCTGAATATGAACATCTCTTATGTTTAACAAGTTTTCCCCCTAAACTTCTCATGTTTCATAGCTGTTAAGCATGTGTCATACCCCCTGCTGCTGTTTGTTTCCTGCCTCTGAGTACGTGTGTGTGTGTTTGGCTGGTTGGCTGCTTTTGCCTGACCTTCTGTGCTTCGTGTCACACAGTTATTTCCTGGGAGAGCTGGAGAAATGTGTGGGTGATCCAGACAGCCTGGCCCGGCTCTTCATCAAACATGTGAGCCTAAAGATCAGTGAGAGACTAGTGTCCTTTTTTTTTCTCAGTCTGAACATTTAGTCATCACAGTCCCCAGTGATGTAATGCCTCGGCCTGCTGCTGTGCAGATGTGTTTTCTTTTTGTAGATCAGCTGACTGCAGGTGCAGCTGGTAAATAACAGGCAGCAATCAGTGTCGAAGACGCTTCCACTGAGACCCTGCTGTTTGTAAAAAGGAGCTGAATCTACACCTCTCTGAGCTCTATTAAATTTTTTTGTTGTTTTTACTCTAAACTTCAGAAGATTTGATGATCATCATTGCAAACGGCAACATTAAACACAAAGAAAGCAACTTTTATTTTGTGTTTTGATGTAAAACATCAAAATGTGGAGAAACTGGAAGGGTGTGGAAAACGATTATTGGCACTTTACAGTCGAGCATCCGTATCGCTGTGCTACAGCAGGAATATAAACAGAATAAACTCATAATTTTGATTTGATTTTCGATCCAAACATCTTTATTTCTTTAAGTTTCTGCAGCATGTCTAATTCAGCTTTGGACACTAAGGTGTAATTCTTACCCTGCTCATTGCTCCACACTTATTTGTAATAATTTCCATTATCCCTCTTCCACTTCCAGGAGCGGCGTCTTCACATGTATGTGGTTTACTGTCAGAACAAACCCAAGTCCGAGCACATTGTCTCTGAATACATCGAGACATACTTTGAGGTGAGAGCCCAATGGTCTCTGTCCGCAGAGATGACTTTTTCAGCCTAAAAAACCCTTGTTTTTCACATTTCTTTCCATTTTTGTCTTCTGACAGGATCTCAGACAACAGCTGGGTCACAGGCTGCAGCTCAATGACCTGCTTATCAAACCTGTTCAGAGGATCATGAAGTATCAGCTACTGTTGAAGGTTTGCTACTTAAAAAGATGACCTATTCACTTGCATGGCACCTGCTACATGTTAATATTAAAATAATCTGTCATTCGTTTGATTCAGGAAACATCAAAATGATCAAAATATTAAATAGTAAAAGGGTTAATTTACTTAAATTAAAACGTTCACAACTGAAAATTGTGAGTAGGCTCTCAGCAACCTTGCATACAACTAGCGGGTAACCAGTTGAGTCACGTTCTCTATTGCAGAAAGATGTCTTGCGAACGAGTTGTACTCAGGCTCATGCTGATTGCAACTTATTGAAAATCCATTTGCTTTTATAAATTAGAGGGCAGCTATTTAAAAACCTTCTCCAATCTGTCTGAGAGTGGTTGCAGAGGGAGATTAAGATTATTTTGAGACAGTTTCCTTCAATCCAGGTGACCTGTGCGTTCACTTTGCACAGGTCCAGGTGACCTGTGCAAAGTGAATGCAAAAGGTTCGGCAACTGGTTGCAAACAGCTGTCACCCAGTTTTTTGCAACCGGTTGCCAAATATGAAAAATTAAATTCAGCCACTGATTTTGATCCTAGTCACAAGGAGGTTTTTATTATACTGCACCATTATAAGTCCTTTTTTCCTTACTTTATGTTACAGTTTTCTATTCAAGTTGTTTCAGTTTATTTTATGAAAATTAAAATAAATCTCTTATTGACTGGCACCTTCAGGACTTCTTGAAGTATTACAGCAAAGCTGGGAAGGATGTGGAGGAGCTGCAGGTACGAGCTCATTATGAAATGGAAACTCCAATAAAATGCTTTATCATTTCAATCGCACACTAAAATTATGTTTTCACTGCTATCCATCTGACTCAGAGAGCAGTGGAGGTTATGTGTTTTGTGCCAAAACGATGTAATGATATGATGAATGTGGGAAGGCTCCAAGGTTTTGAGGTAAGATCTGCCGTTTTTTAATGTGTTCTTAAAAAATAAGACGCATATCCGGGATGACTTGTGTTCTTTGACAATGGTATATGATATATGTACTGCTCAGGGGAAAATCACGGCTCAGGGGAAGCTGCTCCAGCAGGATACCTTCTCCGTCAGCGAGCAGGAAAGTGGCTTCCTGTCCAAAGCGAGGGAGAGGCGGGTCTTCCTGTTTGAGCAGCTGGTCATCTTCAGTGAGCCAATTGATAAGAAAAAGGGTTTCCCTTTGCCGGGGTACACCTTTAGAAACAGCATCAAGGTGAGATTATATTTGAGTGCTGAGTGTTGAGTGCTTTTGTTAATGTTCAAAATGAGCATGTTGTGTTTTGCAGGTAAGCTGCCTTGGTGTGGAGGAGCACTCTGAAGAAGATCCCTGCTGTCTGGTCCTGACTTCTCGAGGCACTGACGGCAGTGTGACGCGCTTCATCATGCAGGCATCATCTCCGGATATACAGCAGGCTTGGCACAGTGATGTGGTCCAGATATTAGAGACTCAGAGGAACTTCCTTAATGGTACCGGAGCTCAGTCTTTCTTCTATACGACTGTTGATTTAAGAGTTTGGTCTGTCTGAATAATGCAACATATCTTCCTGTCTGCTGCAGCTCTTCAATCTCCGATAGAATACCAACGGAGGGAAAGTAAGTCAAACAGCCTGGGCAGGAACACAAAGTCTCCATCTACATCAGCATCTGGCCTGTGGCCTCACTCCTCAGCATCCGTGGACAGGCGTCAGCAGCCCTGTTTTCTGTCTTATAACACCTCCTTGCCCTCTATGCATTCATCCCAGCACAGCCCGGCCTCGCAAACGGTGCGTGTGAAACAGCAGTGCTCACCATCATATTTATGCACAAACATGCATCTGTATTTTTCTCACGATTTAACTTTGACTTCTTTGTCTCTTTAAGGTGTCTAACCCTTGCGTGGTAACAGTTTGTGCAGCTCATCCCTCACTTTCCTCCCCCATGCAGCTCAGTCTGTGCTCAGAGGTGAGACGTGACTGTGGCACATCCAATGGCCTGGCTCCCTGCAGCTATCACAGCCTGCAGGTAAATAATACACAACACTGACTGACCTCAGTTATTTAACAGATGAGGCATCTGCCATGCTGATAATTTATTCTTCCTGAAAGAAAATACAGTAAAAGTTGTTTACGGTCTATAGTTATGCACTGGTGTCATCAATGAACATTTAAAGTGTCTATTTGAACCCAAATTATCTGTATAGGTAGAAATTCACATTTAACGATTACATTTGCAGGCAGCCAATTGAGTCGGGTCCCTTTGAGCTGTGGTCATTGGTCAAAGACTCATTCAGACTGATGGCAAAATGTCACAAGTCTGTCTGCATTTATAAATTAGCAGGTTTTTTTTGCAAAATTTCAACAATGTCTCTAAGAGTGATTGCAGTCCGTCCAAGTCAGACTGCAACTGTTTGCAGAAAGATCCAATCAGTCGTCAGGACAATTGCCCTGTCATCAAAGGGATGGTGAATGTGCACAACCATCAAGCTCTGGGCAGCCATTTAGTCAACACTAGTTGCAGTCGGCTGCAGAATGTGATATAATTCAATGCAGTCAGCATTTCTAAATAAAATAAAGTGATGTAGATCAGCTCTGTGGAGCTGGTCTGTGTGCGTGGACTGAGGCTGTTTGTTGTGGCGATCACTGATGGTGATGGGAAATGACTCTCTGTATGCCTTTGTGAAAATATCCTGTTGTTGTTACTGCATGGATTTACAAACCTGGTTGACCTAACCTGCAGCCAGTTTATGGAAAACCCGTTGACCTGCTCTTTTATCTCATTCATTCAGACTTCCACCAAGAGGAGGAAGCAGTTTGATTACAATACTTATTAGACGTGCTGATCTGGCCTGATTCCACAAAGTTGTTCTTGTCCTCTTGGCTTGCTCTTTGTGTTTTGGATCAGCTGTGTTTCTATTGTGCTTTAAATGCACAAGAAAATAAAATAAAAGTTTCCTATCTACCTTTTCACACAGCCTTTATCACACATGTCATGCATGATTCCTGACTCCATGCCATTTTTATGTAACAGCTTCTTAATTACATTTATGTAAAGAAAGTCACTGAGTACCGGTTCATTTTTCATTACTGATGAAGTAACTGCACATAACTTTTGCAGCCCTATTCTCCTAGATCCTGGCTAAAAGAGCAGAGGTGACAGGGCCTTCATAATCGGTGCAACAACTGACCTTTTCACATATGATTTACCTAATGACTAAAAAACCCCTATTTGTTCTTGCTTGCTTTGAGTTCTACTTGAGCAGGGTTTCCTGGCTTTTTATTATGCAAGCATAGCCTTATTTACTTCTCGTATTACTTTAATTGATTAAAGTTTCTATTTTTAAAATGTATGTTTATAGTTTTTTTTGTGCATACTGTATTAAATAATTTAACAATTTTTGTTTAAATTACCTCAAATTTACCTCAAGTGGTGAAAACAAATCACTTCATTCTGCAAATGCTAATATTACAGCCTTAACAGCACAATTCTTTTATCTCCGTGTTATTTTTAAAGTTTGCCTTTTCAGTCTTATTTTGCAAATGTACTAAATTACGCTGATGCCAGAATCAATCACCTGATTAACAGGAAGCCTTTGAAAATCTGCAGTGTGTCTTTGCTTCAAATGCCAGTGTAAAAATTGCCTATTTCCTCTCAGGGTGTGCCCACCAGTTTCCAGACGATCACATTTAAGGACGCTGGGACTTATTCAGCGCATCAACTAAATAACTTGGATCAGCTCAAGGAGAGCGAGCAATAATGCGCTGCAGTGTCACATGAACTCAGTTTACCCTTCTGGAGCTGGAGTACCTCGACTAGGTCTGACTGCCAGGACACTTTGTTCCACTCATGTACACAAGCTGTCCGAGTCTGCGCGTCTCTGTTTTCACATATTGTCTCATATTTCCTTTAGGCTTATGATGTGGGGACTATTCTAGTGAAGTTACTTTGGTGTGACTGTATTCATTTGAGTGCATCTGCATATACATTACCAATCAGCTATAACATTAAAAACAAGATGAACCGAACAATTCCGATCATCTCTTGCAATGCAAAAACCTGCTGCGAAGCCTTAGGTGCTGCCATTCATCTGGATGTTTCTTCCACCTTATTAGCGAAGCAGCCTCTTCCAGCTGGACAGTGCACAATACGCACTGCAAAAACTGGACGTAAAGTCAGATTTGTTGACTTGGCCTCCAAACTTTACCCATTCTGACTGAGGATCTGCACGAAGGCACGAGAAAGCCCCGTCCACAGGCAACATGTCCATTCCACAGAACACAAAGTTTTCCACAGACTCAGTGAACCTGCATCCATGCCTCCAAAGCTGGGATGCCAAATTTGTTTTACATTGAGGGGGCACATATAGCCCACTTTGATTTCAAGTGGGTTAGGTTTATCTACACATTTAATGCCTGTGATATCTTAATATAAGAAAAAAGTGCAATTTCAAAATTTTGTCTCAGTTTTTCTGCTTGATTAAAAAAAATGTTGCCATAAGACATGAACTAATTTTATCAGGATGACTTTGGGGTTAAATTGTAAGAAATAATTGTGTAAAATTACAGAAAAAGTTCTGGTACCTCATTTCCTTGACTGTCCTGTAATTATAAAACAGAACATTGTTGTTAATTCACATTTTTAGAATTATTTTATTATTATTGTTTTTAATGTGGACCCATTATAAAACAAACAAACAAGAAATGTTTTAAGAGTAGACATTTAAGAGTAAAAAAAAAATGGGGGCAAACAAAAATTCTGTTTTTTTCTAATTGTTAATACTTTAGTGTAGCATGAATGCAGGAGGGCAGTCCTTATCAGCAGAAAAAGCTGTTAAATATACCAAAATAGAGTTAAAAGTCGAGACTACGCCCTCTTTCACATTATCCAGTAGACCAGATTGGTGTCTGTGTCAGGAAGATTCTGGCCCCCAGGCCTTATGTTTGACACCCTTTCTCCAAAGAGGTCATTTCACTAAGCAGGTTATTTTAATGTTTTGGCTGATTGGTGTAAATGCAGGCATATATTTCCTCTCAGGGTGTGCCCGCCAGTTTCCAGATATATATATATATATATATATATATATATATATATATATATATATATATATATATATATATATTATATATATATATATATATATATATATATATATATATATATATATATATATATATATATATGTGTGTGTGTGTACATGAAGTGTATATATCTGTGTCACCACAGAGACTGTGCTTCACGGTGTTTATGTATTCATTTCTTCCTGTTTCCTTTGAAAATTCTTTGATGGATCTTTGCATAATGCGTAATATTTTCACAGGAGACCAATTCCACTTTATTCCCACAGAGAACTGAGATCTTAAATCCCTCCTCAAATAACTGTATCCATGAAATTGCCAAGTGACCGTAAATCCCAGTTATAGTCCAGGATCTCAATCCACACGAGTTATGTGTATCCCTGCAGTCCCTGGAGATTAGCGAATAGCTGTGCTTTCTGTCTGGTGGCCTGTTTTAACCCTGCCATTGTCAGTCTTATCTGAACTAAACATGTTTGTGGACTTACACAAAGCTTGTCATAACCAAGCAGAGAGAGGAAAAAGGGAACACAGATAAAACCGAGGTGCTCATTCGTCATTGTCGTCTTGAATGTAAATAATTTTGTGTTGGATCATATCGGTGAATCTCGTGCTGTCCTGATACACTCGTGGAATTAAAGAAGTTGTTCAGATATTTGTTATCATCATTTTTAGTTTTTCACTTCATGTGTCTCTTTTAGCGTCTCCTGACTGTTGTGTGTCTCTTGTTATTTGGACCCATTGAGTAACTTGTTCTCGATATTTGCTTTGGCCCTTGTGCCTATGAGGTCTCAAGGCTGATAGGTCAGTTCATTTATCCTTCCATGTTTCCCGTCTATTTTAAATATAAATGACCCATTAAAGCATAGTTGCTGGGAAATATGAATTATTTCCATCTTAAACCAACAGTCTGCAATCGATCAGTCAGAGTGTAAGTCAGCAGCTATTTCCTGTCATTTATTGTCTTTTCCATGAATTAGTTTTCCTAATACAGGCCAGAGGACCCCTTCCTAGCCTCATTATAATGTGCAGTGTATAACTTAATGGATGCCTTTGGTCGCTATCCAGAAGATTTATGTTCCCAAATGTGTAATAATCAGGTTGTTTTGTCTTGTTTTTATAAGATTATTTAAAAAGAAAATCCAAACGAAACATCGAAGCTGCACACAATCTGATCTCTGGTCCTCAAAGCAGGGAACCAGATGGTGCTTAGCACCCTCTAGTGGAGGGAAATGCTCATCATTATGAATTAAAGAGTGAGTCACAATGTGAGCTCTTTAATTTACCAGTTTACAAGTCAAATATTTTATATTATGATTAATTATATGGTCTAACTAATTAATTATTATATTTTTATATTAAAAATTGCAGCTGGGTCTATACACATACATATAAACAGAATTTTTATACAGTAAGCAAAATCATGAAAAGGCATAAACTCGTGCTGCTGGCACCTGCTCTACACTTCTGAACATAAAAAATTTCAGTACTCCAAGCAAAAGACTGCCTGAAATTTCTGCATCACGCAGAGGCCATTTGTCCTTCAGTCATCTGACTATGTGACACACAACATCCTAGTGGTCTCGTTGTTCATTTGCATTGCATAGACTCACACTGCCTCATCTTTTACATGTTTGTCTGCTTGTTTAACATCTTAATATTGCTACTGAAAATGAAGACGAAACCTTGTAATTAATACGAAGGCTTTTGTTTTTTATTTTTGTGCTTGGCGGAATTTTAAGGGAACATCCATTATGCAGTTTTTCTGGGTGAAACTGACCAGACTGCGTTGAGCTGATAGGAAGGCAACGGTAACTTAAATAACCACTTGTTACAACCAAGGTGTGAAGAAGCAGAACCTTGAAGCAGCTGGGCTACGGCAGCAGAATACCACACAGAGGATCACTCCTGTCAACTAAGAACAGGAAACCGAGGGTTAAACTGAACTTTTGCTATCAAAATCTGGTGGTAAGCAGTAAAGCACAGATCCATGCTGCCTTGTATAAACAGTTTAGTCTGCTGTTGATGGTGTGAGGGTGTAGAGGATATTTTCTTGGCACAGATTGGGTCCCTAAATACCAACACAGAATTGTTTAAATGCCACAGCCTATCCGAGTACTCTTGCAGACCATGTTCAACCCTTTATCACCACATCGAACTGGTATTTTGATGACTGCCTCCAGCAGGATAATGCACAACGTCACAAAGCTAAAATTATCTCAGACTGGTTTCTTGAGCATGACAATGAGTTCCCTGTACTCACATGGCCTCCACAGTCACCAGCTCTCAATCTAATAGACCAGACTCGGGATGTGGTGGAACGGCAGATTCTCATCATGGATGTGCAGCAGACAAATCTGCAGCAACTGTGTGACGCTGATGTGGACCAAAATCTCTGAGGAATGTTTCTAACAACTTGTTGAATCTTTGCCACAAATAATTAAAGCTGTTTTGAAAGAAAGACAGGGCACAACCTGGCACGAGCAACATGAAGCTAAAAATAAGACTTACCTGCATGTTCCTTCATGTTCATGGCCCTCAGTACCTCTCTGATCTCCTTCAGCTCTACACCCCCAGCCCCACCTGAGAAATCTTCCTCCTGTGTTGACATGTGGTTGCTGTACATTCCTCTCTCCAAGTTTCAGACGCTCAGGGATAGAGCCTTCAGCTTCCAGGCTCCGACACTCTCAGACAACTTCAGTCATTAAATTCAAAACCTGGTTTTAGACGCAGGCTTTTAGTCTCAAATATAAACCATGCTTGCTATTATTTGACAGTTTTTGCCTCTCATCTATCATGTTCATTTGCTTCAGTAGCATAAAAGATGTGCTTATAAATTAAGTTCTGTAATCTGTAATCAAAAGACTGTAATCTATTGTAAGTCAGCGTCTTCATCCTTTGAACCAACATCACAACATTGAACACAAGATTTCGTTTTTTTTCCCCACACACATTTTTTTATAACATTTGAAATGAATGTAAAAACTCTCATAATGCTCAAACAACTCATATTTTTTTGTTTTGGGTGTGGGGGTGGGTGGGTGAAGCAGGCAGCAAATGATTTCTGTGTCCACACAATAAACATCACTGTTAAAAAAAATTCTACATCTGTCAACACTTACAAATTAAAATGTGAGACAAATTCTTCAGTACACAACTACATACAAACCAAGCAGCAGGAACACTGCTGTTAGTTTCTTCCATCAACAGAACGAACGTCACATTTTGGTGAAAAATAGAAATGAATTAAAAGTCACAAACAGATGCCGGTGTAGCTCAGAGCAGATCAGGTTCGATTCCGATGTGCTGCTTTCTGACCCGACACCCCCCTGCTTACTTGACTCTCTTCACTGTTCTATCTAATAAAAGGCAAACAAATTGTTAATAAATTAATAAATAAAATAGTTACAAATAAGTCGATATTTCTCTTGGGGATTAAAAAAAACAGTTGATAAATCTCTGGCACCTTATTGCTAACAAAACAAAGTTAAAAAACTTGCTTAGGAAACAAATACAGTGATACAAGGGTGCCATCTAAAGACCATGGTATAAAAGAACAGCATCACCACTTGAGTCTCTGACATGCAGGAGTGCTCCAAAGAGGAGATTCAGTATAAAAACTGTATTCTTGCTTCATCCCCCCCCCCCCCCCCCCTTCTCCATCCTCTTTTCATAATGATGTGAGTATTTTACAAGTACTTTAGTTCAACCAATGTTTCTTTTGGCCACATGTAAAGATCCGGTGGTGAGCACTCAAACGCCTCGTTTTCCTCAGATGCTTGTTGGGGAAACAGACAAACAGCAGAAGACGACGATTACAGCTGCTCCCGCAACCAGGTAACACCTGATGAACTGAGACCAAAAGGTTCTCCTCCTCAGATCTTACTTATCTCTCCATGGGTGACACAAAAGGATTCTGGGTAATGGGCAGTAAAACCATAATGCACACACAGATTAAAGCACCCAAGAGCTAGCAGGATCCAGACCTTTGGCACGGCCAGTCAGTACCAGAACCCGACAAATGAAAAGACTTGGAACACGTTCTTCATGTGGCATTGGCAAGGAGGTCACACTGGAGCTCCGAGTCTGCAGCTCTGTCACTTAACTGATAGGGTTTATTGTCACTGACAGAAAGACCTTGTTCCAAGCTCAATTCTATATTCGGCTAGTGCAAATCGAAGGAGAATGCATGCACATCTACCCAAAACAGCATGACAATGAAGTTACACTGGCTGCTACCTGTTCGGTTCTCCCAAAGCCTGGTCTTTGTGCAGGGTATGAGCAAGATTCCTTTATGGCTCGAGATGTTACTGGGCACTGCAGCTCATTTTCTCCTGTCTTCACACCAAAAAGGAAGCCTAAATTTTTCTGTTGGGCTTCTAGATGCTAGAGGACTTTTTAGCTCACTGCAGAGCTGTGCACTGACAGATAAAACATGCTAAAACTGCTCTAAAGGCTGAAGCTGGAAAAATAATTTCAAGGTTCTCAAGAGAAGGCAAACCAAAATTTTATCTGACAGGGCGTGGGGGAGGAGAACTTCTTTGGCAACTCGGGGAGAGCGGAGGAACCTTCGAGAAAAAGAGGAGAGGGGAAGCTAATTATGAGTCAAGCACTGAAACCGATTCTTGAAGTACAGGAGGCCGTTTTTGGTGTGCGTGGCATCAGAGGAGGCTGATGGGTAACGGAACTTGGCGTAGGTCTTGTCGCTCTCTGACTGGCTTACCCAGGGTAGTTTGATTTTGGTCGCGTGATTGACAATGACATCATCGCAAGAGCCCACATGGAGAGAGCCGAGGCCATCGATGAAAAACTCTAGAAAAAAAAGGGAGAGGGGTAAACATCCCTCAGTGGGTCAGGAACACTTTTAATTGATGAAATATTTCAGGTATGAAAGTGAGGAGAAGGTGGCGTGAGCTAAATGTTCCATTTAAATCAGATTTCATTCAGTTTAATGTAGGTAAATTAAAGCCAAGCTGCGACTCCTCCATGGTGGTGTGTGCTGATAAGAAAATGTCACAGCATAATTTGCTAGCAAAAATTATCTTGCACACGTTATCGTCTCAGTAAGTAAAATAAGATATGAATCTTTTTTCTTAAATTGCTAAGATATTGTTGCTATCAATACCTTAATCTGAGATATTCATCTCTCTTTTATTCTTAAATGATTAAGGAAACATTAAATTAACTTGATATGGCACACAAATTGACTCAGTGCTGCAGGAGGATAGAAAAACAATGAATATGAATATACGATAAAGTGCAAAAGTCTTGAGTTACACCTCATTTCTATATATTTTTCTAGAACAAATGGGAAATAGGTGATCAAAAACAGTGTTTGTACAATTCTAACAAGCTTGAAAGTAAATATTTGGTTTTACCACCTTTCTCCTTAAACACAGCCTGAGCTTTAGCTTTCCTATAATTTCTTGAAGCAGCCTTCAGGAATAGTTCTTCAGGCTTCTCAAAGGACATTCAAAGCTGAGTGTTTGCTGCCTTTTGTTCTGTTTTCTGATCCCACACTGCTTCAACAATGTTGAGGCCTGGGTTCTGGACACTCAAAGAAAGAAAAACTTTCAAAGAGCTTCTGAATGCCTGAAGAAATATTTCCCAAGACAATTACAAAAAAAAGAATGGTGGCTCAAGACTTGTGTATAAATGCGTAAATAATAATAATGATAACATTTTTTTTTCTTTTCAATTTTGGCATATTTTTGCATCCGGCAGTCAAAACACTGAATAAATAACAGATGGCATGATGCTAAATTTGCTCCTTTGATATGAAAGGAAGCCCTGTACTCACCCAGATGAGCGACCCTGGTGAGGCGTGGGTCAAAGCCGACCTGCTGGACTTTGTCTGTGCGAGCTAAAAAGAAGTTGATGACCCCATCAGTCACAACGCAGTTGGGGAAGCCTTCAATGACGTGATGAAATCCTCTCCTCATGTGTAAACAGTCACCATCTTCCTCTCCTGGCTCAATGGAGATGGTTTGACGGTAGGTGGCGGTGTACCCCGTGGCCTCCCGCACTGCACCACCCACCTAGTTCACACACATAGATACACTGTCTCTACAAGAGCCCCAAAACTTTAATATTAACTGAGAAAAAGAAAAAAAATATTCTTCTGCTACTCACTAGATCCAGAGTGGTCCTTTCTAAAACATCTACAAGCTTCTCCAGCTTGGTGTTGGCTGTGAAGATGAAGTCATCATCCACCCACAGTACGTACTTCGTGGTCACCTGGGACACGGCCAGGTTTCGGCCGGCAAACCAACCCTAAGAGACGCAACGCTGAGGTTTAGATTGAGATCGCATCACCAGTGACAGCAGGGAGAAGACTTCAGTGTGTCCTTACCTTTCCAAAGGGCATGATGTAATGTTCGATGTAAGGCCCAGAGATGGTTTGGGGATTTTCACTGTCATCAGCTATAACTATGGTAACAGTAGGGTAGTATCTTCTGATGCTGTCGATAAGATCTCTAAGCTTATCGTAACGCAGGAACGTTTTTGTGGCTATTGTCACGAGGGCGCTGATGTTGTACTCTGCAGAGAGTTGATGGAGGAAAACTGACTTTAGAAAGTGCTGTTTGACTCAGAAAGGACGTCTGACTTTAGTTACAAACACCGTCAACATGCCGGTGCTGTACCTCCTTTGGATCCAGTGTTGTACAGTTTAGGTGTTGTTCCGTGTCGGATCTTGATGCTGAAGACAGCTTGATGTCCCTCTGTCTCAAGCTGCACTAAAAGACCCCCGACACAAAAAAAACACGAGTATCATTAAGATAAAACTATGAATGCCTCACTCTCATCTGGTTCTCGTAAAGCATGTAGACATAACAATGTCATGTCTTTGTACAAAACCAATTTTTCAGACCCTCAGGTTAAAATGCTAAACTCTACAGCATTTTATAGACAATTCCAGTAAAAAAAACAACACAAAAAAACAAAACACAAAGCACTTTTAGCTCCTACGGCTAATTTACCTTTCATAAAAACTCTACAGGGTTGGGATGACAAGTAAAGACAGATGTTATTAACAGATATTAACCCCCAGGCCGAGTCGTTCGGTACTGGGACGCGAGAGTTGAAGCTCAGGTGTGAAATTTATGGTTTTCAGCATTTTTATTGTCAACTCGGTTTCCCTGGGTCTTTGTAGTTGTGTGTCTTATTTTGAAAGAAATATTTAAATGTTACCATAGTGACCAGAGAGCATTAAGGGGCAGAGAGGAGGATGTCACTCGCAATGTTGTTGGCACATTTTCAGGAGGAAAATGCTAATAAAGTTACACAATTACAAAGTGAATTCGCATTTATTATCATATTTACAAATTACCACGGTTTTTGTCTTGGTCATATCATTTTATTTTGTTGTATTTATCCGCGACACCTTAAAGGCCAGTTCGTGAAAATATTGTTTGACATTGGAGGTTGGGGATCACTGTATTAAAGCATATCCAGTGTTTAAACGGCCAGTTTAAGGAAAATATTAGTTCAGTTTAAATTTGATGGAAGCAACATGTCCCCAATTGAGACAGGAAATGCTGGAAAAGTAAGTGTTACTAAAAATAGAAAAGAAATAGCTAGAGGACCATTTAAGGAAAAAAGAAGCATCTTAAAAAGTTTTCTCAGAAGTAAAGAAGGGGAGAGGTTCACCAATCTGCATAAAACAGTGTCTACCGATTGTGAAAGAATTGTGTTCCTCACTGTAAAACTGTGAAGACTTTAAATATCTCGTCATCTGCAGTAAAAAAATATCATCGAAAGATTCAGAGAACCTTGATAAATCTCTTTTTGCAAGGGACAAGACAAGGCAATGTCTTGTTTCTGTTGGTTGAAATGGCAAAAAGTTGTTAAAAGAGCTTTAAAGACAGTTTTTCACTGTGGGTTTTACTTTTTCTTGTGAGACAGGAACACGGGGTTTGATGCACCAGTCCAGCTATGGTCATGTTCAAGTGTCCAGATACATTGTCATCCTCAGCGGAAAGATTGTGAAAGCCTTTCCTACTTGTGGTTAGGCAAATTCGATTTAATGTCCTACATCACTCAGATGCGCGTGCATTAAAGACAGACATGATTCTGTCATGAAGACAAAATGCTGATCTGCCTTTTTGTAAAAGGTCCATACTCTCATTATAAAGACTCAATGTATTTTCTAAGTTTTGCTGTGAATAAAATCGATTGCACTCAGTTTTTATTTACATTTTAAAAAGTGCCCCAGCTGTTTTGAAACTGGGTTATACTATACAGGCAGAAAGTCAAAAGACAAGGGCAAACATGCCTTCAGCCATTCAGGTTTTGTGCATGCTTACTATTGTTAATTTTGTGCGAAACAAAGAGGCTCTGATATCAGACTGAATCCTGCTTGGTTGCCCAATTCTAGCTCAAGAGAAACAGCTCTGCAAATAATTTTCTCTGCCAGGAATACCATACAAGAGCAGGTGTGAGGCCACTGAAAAGGGAAAAAAAAGCAAGGTACACAGAGTAGCTTAGTATAAAGGCTGGAGACACTCGGGAAGGTTAGCCACGTCTGATAATGCGATGATGGCAAACAAACAAAACAATCCTGGTGTTGTACAGACAGTGCTGGGGAGTAACGGAATACATGTACCGCCGTTGCATATTTAAATACAAAATATGAGTAACTGTATTCTATTACAGTTACTTTGTTGAAAAAAATGGATTACACTGCGGTATTTTCCTGTTTCATATGTTAGGCTATGCCCTCTCTATATTTGGTAATTCCACGCCGGTGAAAACCCAAACAAAACGCGCATGAAGAGGCTCTAATGCCTGTGTCTCAATCTCGCGGCCCTACTTGCGGGCCGCATAATGACGTGAAGAAATATTTTTTTGAATTTTTACTCCAAAAATGATTTAATATCAAGGCAATAGGCAGAGTGTTACAGGCATAGCCCTAAAGAATGTAGCCTCATGGGCAGTGTAGTCCGTGCAGCAGGGAGAATGGACTGCTGTACCCGTTATGTGTCTGTGAGCACGAGGGAGGGAGAAAAAGGAGAGTCTAAAAGTATGAGTTGCCACCTATCAGAAACGGGAGATGGAAGCATGCATGTCAGTCACCTCCTGCTGTACCTTCGTATATACTGTATATGCATGATCAAAGTATCAGAGTTTTCATCTAATGACCGAGAGTGAAAAAAAATCCACATATTGCTTTAAATTTAAACACAGATTCAAATTAGGGTGTGAGATGATTCTTTTTCTGTATCTTTACTTTCTCCTTTGTGGAATTTGCTGAAAAATACAGAAGAACAAAGTCCAGAGCTGATAAGACGGTGGATTGTTTCCGAGGGCTCACCTGTGTCTGCCGTGCTGGGATGAAACAGCGTGTTCGTGTAGGTGACGAACTGCAGCTGTCGGTTCATGTTCGGCAGCAGGCGGCTGGAAAGAGTCATGTGCATCTCGCCATCACCTTTGATTTTCACCTCGTCTACCTCCGCGGCCACATTTAGAGTTCCCAGCGTGGCAGTGATGTTTATCTGCATATGATGGAAAGAATAGCGGTCAAGGTCAGAGGACTGCAGGCATCTAAAATATTTAAAGACAGACACTTTTGAGCACTCACTGAGTAATTATCTCTGGGAAGGTCATGTAAGGCCAAGCCTGGAAAAGGAGAAACAAACACTGATTGATTTTCAGTCCATTTCCTGTATGCACCAGCTGGATAAATAAGGCCTTTCAGAGGGGTGACCTTACAATATATGTAGGTACAAAGAATATCCAGTATATAAACCACCTCTAGTTCAGGTTAATTTTTAATGTTTAGGGGCCAGTTTAACTACTTTCAAATGATAAAACCATGAGACTTTCAAAAATATCTGAGTTGCTCACTCGCTGAAGTCGTACCTGGGATGATGCTTGTTTTCAGGGGTCGTACTTCCACCCCCTGTGTTGGATACTGCAAGGGGCTGTTAGCCTCAGCAATAATGAGTAGATCTGCAGGGGTCTTTGACCTGAAATGAGATTTTTTTTTCCATCAACAAGCACAGCAAGCAGAAAGCAGGAAGCTCTTCGCAAATAACAGTCACAATTACTATTATCCGCGGATATCATTATTAAAATGACCTCACGTTTCTTACTGGAGAGCAAAGCTTTTGATAAAAACAAGTTTTGTCGTATTAGGAATTAATTTCAGTACTTCTGAAAAGTTTAAATTTTTCTGGAAAGGTGGCTAATTTTGTGTTACTTTTTAATTGCCTTCATCATTTCAAATGTTAATAACTAGAGTCAGTATTCAGTGGATTTTGTCTCACTGGCTCTCTCAGCCAGAGTTTATTCAATAAAGAAACTGAAAATTTAGTCTGAGTGATTCATAATAATGGCGTCGGGATTTGGATTGTGACAGCGTCTGTGTTGCATGTAGAAGCCGCGTCGATGTTCACTATGATGCCTCTGTGTTTCTAAATGGAGGGACAGTAACTGTGTGTGTGTATGTAAGCGTGTAAAAACTGCAGATAGTAAGATTAAAAGCAACAGTATTTTATCTATACTTGCCATTGTACAAAATTCATCTCATGTAAACAATAACGTGACGCACAGCTTGACGTCAAAAAAAGGCGCTCACCTTTGACGTTGCGTGGCTAAATCTCTGTTTTCTTTGTACAGACGTAAACGCAAAACTTGAGTTTTTAAAAAACCTCTATTTTCAGTGATCCAAAACGCTTTTACGTGTGGACGAAAGGCCCGAACAAATAGAAAAAGCTGCATTTTCAAAAATACCCGTCTATGTAGCCTTACTAATGCACAACTCCTGCACGATCCACAGAGATGCGGGGAGGTTTGAAGGCTGCCAGTTGTGTACAGGAAGCAAGCAAAAAGCAAGGTCTGTGTTTATATATGTTCTAATGCATGTATATTCAAACCGCGTAGTAACAAACCACAAAGCGAAGCAGATCAGCAGATAGTGATGTGAGATCATGGATGATTTTCCATGTTAGAGATAGATAAGTCTAAAAAACAATTTCCTGTAGCGTGCACTGAGACAGATGGATTATTTCAAGTAACACATTTTGTTACATCATTATTTAATTTAAATAAAACAACACATCAGGCCACATAATAATATTTTAGCCACACAGATAAAAAAATGTGAAACATCTCTTAAGTACTCCTTACCTCGTCTGAAAGCTGCTGTACTCTTTAGCCCGTCTCCTCTTCATCTCCTCCAGCTCTGAAGCCTCGAAGGCAGTGTGCAGCGGATGAGCTGACACCCGCGGGAACAAGAGTTGTGCGAACGGTAGGTTTACCCCCCCACTTTCGCCCTCACATATGCATCCATTACGTGCCAGCAAACTGGACAGATTATAAGACACGTGTGATCAGATTTAAGCTCAGGTCCGTCCGCTTTGGTTCAAAATAGCATTACTTACCTCGCCACATTATCCCTTACATGGAAGGGAATATTGCTCAATCGATGGTCTGACTCAGGGACCCTCTCTTCCAGATGCCTCTCTACTATAAACGCTGGTCGCTGCCAAACATCCACTGTGGTATAACCCCGAGTGGGCCACGAATGGAGGAGAGCCAGTACTAGCACCACAGACACCAAGATGACTAGCAACACCGTCTTCCTCATGGACCGCATCCTGGAACCTGTCAGAGATTAGAATGCTGGATGACGCTCTGGTTTCTATAATTATACTCTGACGATATTTCCGAACAGGAATGCGATTTAAGTGACGGGAACAAAATCAACAGTCTCTGTTTTGTGTGACAACTTTGTGAGGTTTTGCTAAAGTTAAAAGGTTATGTCATCCCCCTGCACCACCCCTTCCACTTCAGCTCAACCCCAAAAACAGCCCACAGGAAGTTGTTTAATCGCAGTTGTTTAATTATAGTCTCAGAAGATTTTCTAAGTCGTCACCACAGCTACAGATCGATGGAAAATTATTCGCATTTTTGTGGTTGCACTCACAGTGGAGCCATTAAAAGAGATCTATATATCTGCTGAAAGGATCAGCATAATGAAATCATGAATGCCTTCCGATCCCTCATTCCCCTCCCATATTTTTTCTCCTCGATTCTTCTAGAAAATTCTTCTAGAAACTTGCCAGCACACAATTACTTCTTTCTCCTCCAGCTGTGAGAAACAAAAACTCCATTTCTGATTCTGCATGCACTTGGGTGTGGGCGAGATGGTATTCTTGTAAATGGATTGCTCATATTGTGGGAACGTAAATATTATACACAGCTACAAAGTAGGAATCCAGCCTTCTTGTTAAAGACATAAATGCTTACATCTAATGATGACGACTTTGTTTATGTCCAGAGTAGGAAAAGTCTAGTGTTAGAAATAATGTAGAAAACCTTTGAAGTGATGGAATCAAGACTCTGTCTCTTGTATGTGTGTGTGTGTGTGTGTGTGTGTGTGTGTGTGTGTGTGTGTGTGTGTGTGTGTGTGTGTGTGTAGGCTTGCTTACAATGACAAAATTCACTGCCACAAATGGAGGAGATAAGACATTAAATTAAACATTCTGTAACCATTTAGCAGACAGACTTTCATTTCTAGCAGTTTAAAAAGTATTTATAGGAATATATACCTCACTGCCTCTATCCAGTCATTGAAAGGAAAACCTCTGTTGACACCTGCATCTCCAGAAACCATGTAAACATTCGTGGAAATGAGCAAGCGCCTTCTCCATCTGGAAAGAACAAAAAAACAACTCAAAGAGTACAGACTGAAAAAGTGGATAACAACTAATAATAATATAACAGAATGTACTCTTAAGAAACCTGAAGTGCATATAAACTTATATTATCATGAGGTAAGTGACCATGTAGTGTCATTAAGTGACTGCATGGTACCACAGCTGCCGGGGGAAATTAGTTTTTGTCACGAAATCAATCAATGTAGAGCAGTGTCACAAACCACGGAGGCCCCAGGAAAGTGCAATCAAACGGTGAGTTTATTAACACCCAGGAGAAAACATCAGCATATGTCTTCTGACAAAAATACATGTTGAGAACACTTTTAAAGCAGTGAGGTATCCGCCCCCCCATGGCGTAAAAATAGGTTAAAGACGTCAGTTACAGTAAATGGTACATTTTAGATGGCTATAAACAGACATAGAACTTCTCATTCCTATAACATCTTCCAAACAAGGTAATAACTTCAAGCCTTCGAGGTCTCTGAGGGCTGGTTGTCGACTCCGGTCATCTGTTACCAAGTAGGCTAAAATGCAGTTGGAAGCTAAATGAGTTAAGGCCTCAGGCCTGACACATTCCTAGATTATATGTATTGTAAGCATGTCTGTGAAGGTTCTCAGTCATCCAGGTCATCGTAGTCAAAGGAGCTTGCAAAGAAAAGCGTCTGGACTTCTTTAAGTTGCTTGAAGACGTTTCAACTCTCATCCAGGTTTCACAATGAACTCACCCGAAACTCTGGCTGATTGGGACCCACACCCAGTTTCACACCTTGGCTCAGGCGATTAGAGGATCATCAGGGGGTCCTTTTGTCCCTCTGTGGGGGGTTACTCCCACTAGGTTTATATCTGGGACTCTCCACCATTTGACCTTAGAACTGAAGAAGCTTCTCGGATGAGAGGTGAAACGTCTTCAAGCAACTTAAAGAAGTCCAGACGCTTTTCTTTGCAAGCTCCTTTGACTATTGTAAGCATGCATGCAATTATCCTTCTATGCTTTAGTCCTTTTCACAATAGATTGTGAAGACTCGCGCTTCATAAAGCTTAAGACCTTCTTGTAGACTAATGCAATAACTCTAAATGAGCACAAATATTATGCAATGTGTATGAAATACTCCTGGCTGTATCTGTAATAAAAGTTAACATAATGAAAGGATCCTTAAATTAACATCTTCAATAAACAACTTTAATGCAATATCAATACTGTGAGAAATATTATTAAATGGAATAATGCTGTAGAATGTTATTAATGCAATTATAATGATGCAGGTTATATGGCAGAAATAAAAGAATTTCTGTATCTCCACATTTTACAAAGGGCTGGAGGGGAAAAACTAAATCAATACAGGGGAAAGATTAATAGGATCAGAACTAGCAATGTTCCTCTAAATCAGCAGATGGCTTACAGATGGCTTTGGCCACTCACTGTCGTACCTTTCAGTCTAGTTCTTGAATAATCGGTAATCTGCTATACCTCAGAGTTTTCTTGCAGTTTTCATTATGTTAAAAAAAAAAAATACAATTTAGAATTGGTTCTTTGCCAAGTTATTAACTAAATGTGGACACCACACAGGTCATCCCCTGATTATGTTTGAATTGTTTATAGATCAGTGGCTTACAAAACAGCAATAACAAAAACATTCCTGTGAGATTGCTCAGGTACAAGGACCAGACTGAAACTAGGTCAATAAGCAGCCAACGACTTTGAAAGAAAAATGTTTAAGACCTTCAGGATGTCTACTTTTTAAATAATTACAAATCTGGCTTCCTGGAATCAAAATATAAAAAATGAGGGGTTGGTCTCGACTTTTTGCATAGTACTGTATTTCAACAGAGATTGTAAGGTAAGACAACATGACATGATGCATATCTGTGAAGATATGCCTGCAGTAATGCAAAACATTGCTTTGCATTACTGCAGGCCTCCCAGATTTGATCTCCCCGTCTGAATGATAATTAGCAGCGATAGTGGAACAGCCCTAAGACATAACAGATAATCTAAGCCAATCAGAACATAGCATAGCTGTGTGCTGCACGCTGTTGTCATTAACCTAAAAACGAGCCTATGGTAGGGAGTGCCGCGGTGAACATGCTATGGGCATGCATATAGTCCGTGGGTTCCTACCAAAGATTTGCTCGCATGTTTCGGACTATTTGGGATAATTAGCACAAAATTAGCACACCTTCCTTCGTTCTGTGAAACATGAGGAAAATATGGAAAAAAATAATGCGAATGTGTGTACACAAATCCGAGGTAGCGAATATAAATGGCCTGTATTTATATAGCGCTTTACTAGTCCCTAAGGACCCCAAAGCGCTTTACATATCCAGTCATCCACCCATTCACACACACATTCACACACTGGTGATGGCAAGCTACATTGTAGCCACAGCCACCCTGGGGCGCACTGACAGAGGCGAGGCTGCCGGACACTGGCGCCACCGGGCCCTCTGACCACCACCAGTAGGCAACGGGTGAAGTGTCTTGCCCAAGGACACAACGACCGAGACTGTCCAAGCCGGGGCTCGAACCGGCAACCTTCCGATTACAAGGCGACCTCCCAACTCTTGAGCCACGAATATAAATACCCGGCTAAACACAGGCCTATTAGCCCTCCTTATTCTGAGTGAGAGCGCAAGAAAACCCATGCATCCGAAATTATCTTTAAACAGCACTTCTAATATGCTGAAAAACATCTCCAGAATAAAGACATACTGTGCATTTAGTTATTTTACCACCATGTTAATGTCAAAAATTTAAAAAAAAATCTCACGCCTATCCCCTCTTTGTCTATCAAAGAAGCTGTCAAACGTTCAGTCAGAGCTGAAAAACAACAACCCCAGAAAAAAATCCCCTGCCGAAGACGGGGACACGGGCCTTTAGAGCAGCACCCCACTGTAGAAAAAAATCAAATAACCCCAAAGCTCACCTCAGTTAAGACGCACACACTACAGACTCTTTCACCTCCCTGCTGCACGGAGCTCGCCCCTCTCTCACGAATCTGTTCCTCGGAGGTCTTGAAAACGATTATGCGGGGGGAAGAGGCGCAGAGAGGAGCTGCCGCGCATCGCAGCACTGCAGGCTGTTGGACGGATGCTCCCCCTGCAGCAACAGCGGCTGCAGCGCAGCGGTGAGCGCACCGATATCGCCGCTACACCAGACTCATCAGCGGTCAGTCAGCTGAGCACGCACACACACAGACATAGAGGAGAGGATAACACTGAACTGACTGCACGATTTCTCAAAAAAAAAAAAAAGGAGAATTATGATCAAACAATAAGATTTATGTCTACATACATGTTTAGATTGGTGTGTGTGTGGGCGCCTGTGCACACAGTCGATAAATATGTGTACTGCTTTTTCAGCTTTTATAGTATCTCACCCTCTGTACTTCCCCTCCTCTCTGGTATTCTGTTAAGGAATGCTTTTTTCTTCAAGGAACTTTTGATTTTTTCCTCACCAGATATTTAAACCCAGTAGTTTGACTGCACTTTTCGCTCAGCTCGGTGTGTACTTTTTGGGTATCATATGAATCGTTTTATTGTTTTGTCATTATTTTACCTAATTGTTATTGTAAACCTTTAAAATCAGTTACTTGGGACTGCTTTGCATCAAAACAAAATGAAACAAACGAAGACACCCCCACCAAACATTTTACCATGCGACAGCCCGCCTTGTCTTCGTGCTTATGTGTGAGCCTATTTCATCGCAAGACAGGCGGTGACAGCGGAGATGTGCTGTTATTCATTAGCGTGCTAAATATAGCACAAACACGCCGTTCATTGACTCTCCGCTGGTATGAAAACCAAACGCACCTCAGAACTCGGGAAAAACTTTGATTGACTTGGAAATTGGCCAATGACAAAGCAGGGCTTTTCAGCTCGACCAATCCGCTGCTACCATGTCAGGCATTGTGTGTTGTTGCTGTCAGACAGGGGTAAGAGGCGATAGTCAATGATGGCTGCTTCCTTGGTTTGGTTGTTAAAGAGACTGTACGTTTTCTTGTTGACATGTCCCCTCTGTGTCCCGGGCTTCTTGAATTTGGAGGAGCTTAATGACATGAAATATGGGATTCAGATTCTTCCCGATCCTGTCATCCTGGGGCAGGTGAGTCAGAAAATGCTAACGGATATAGCTTGTTAGCTTAAATATGAGCTAGCGGTATTTATTTACTATTAATAGTGTCAAATAATTCACAAAGCGTGAGACCTGATGTCATAAAAGCACAAAACATGCTAAAATAAATCTTATAGAGTTACATGAAGACGAGTAATTCTCAGGTGAAGTACGTCACAGCATGCTGTGACAGCTGTTATGTTCATTGCCACATGTCTATAACTAGCTAAAAGTAAAGCCGCAAACCATGTTTTTATCTGTTTGCATTCACCTGATGCGTTGGTAATGTGTGAACATGTGTGTCAACATTAAATTCACCCCCTTTTCCATGTCTGTCTTACGTTTGTAGACTAAGACAGAGGAGGTTATGATGGTGTCCAGTAAGTACAAACAGCTCTATGAGTGTCGACTTCCAGCACAGGCTGTGCGTTTTCATCAGGATCCCGCCACTGAGCCTGACTCGGAGGGTTACACTGGGCCAGATATCCCAGACCTGCTCAAGCCCATGCACAATGCCCCATGTCTACTCAAGGTTGGTCCTTAACTACTTATCTGTGTAATCCAACAGAGAAATGCTTAAGCTGTTTACACAGTGGTGTGACTACAATAATAATACAACAATAAGAACACAAGAGCAAAACACACCGAAAGCGTGTGTATATTTGCCAGCTTAAGTAAACCATTTTTAAAACGCACATGGATGCCCCAGAAGCTTGCCAAAAACAACACTGGGAGGCTCTTGATTCAGTATTCATTGGATTAAAGGTTGCTCGTCTGCATCAGTGACTGGGTACAAAAGCAGTATATCTAAGAGACACACATCTGTTAATGTACCTGTGTTTTCAATTGTTCAGCTTATGTGTTAAGGTTTACCCAAAAGCTCACAAGTACTTTATCACTATCTTCTTGCTCACAGTGCATCTTATCCATGTATCTCCTTACCAGTGTTGGGAAGGTTACTTTTAAAATGTATTCCATTACAGATTACAGAATACATGCCCCAAAATGTATTCTGTAACGTATTCCGTTACGTTACTCAATGACAGTAACGTATTCTGAATACTTTGGATTACTTAATATATTATCGTGCTTTTTACAACAACGTGAATGTACTATTGCTGTGTGATTTATTACTATTACTGAAGGTCCGCGACTCCGAACTGTAGTAAAGGGACCTCTGACTAATACGGCGGGGTCCCTGGCGGGCTCGTAGCCGAAAAATAGCTTTACTTTGTTGTGTGGGTCAACTTTTCTTGCGAGAGACAGAGAGAGGCGTTGAAAGTCTGCTCCAACGGAACTTATTGTTTTCGGAGGAAAACACGAACACAGTGTACAGTCGAGTCTTAATAGCTTACTTACAACTGGGCTCGTCAGGCACTCTTCTTGGCTGCAGTGGTTATTATTATATTTACATGCTTCCAGCTCCCGTTTTTCCTCGATGACAACTCGTACCTTTCCACTCCCCTTTTTCTCCCTCCTCGCGCTCACAGACCCATAACGTGTATGGCAGTCCATTCTCCCTGCAACACGGACTACACTGAACATGATGCTACATTCTTTAGAGCTATGCTTGTAGCATTCTGCCTGTTAGCTTAGCACAACAACAACGAAAAGGCGCTCTCTCACCCAGGAAACACACAGTCGCAGAGAGAGAGAGCGTCGCCCTGTAACCATGGCAACCGTAACGCTGCCGCCTGGAACAAAAGAACGTAGCTGTCAAACAAAACCCAAACAGTCCTGACCCGCGACAAAATGAAACAGGAAAGTACCCCAGTGTATTCCATTTATTTCAACAAAGTAACTGTATTCTGAATACCACCTTTTTAAACGGTAACTGTAACTGAATACAGTTACTCATATTTTGTATTTTAAATACGTAACGGCGGTACATGTATTCCGTTACTCCCCAACACTGCTCCTTACAATGTGTTTTTTGTATAGTCATGAGACAAAGAAAGTTTGTCACACTTTCCGCTTCCATAGGCATAAAGAGGTTAAGTCACAGCCTGGTGCTGTTAATCAAATGTGCTTGATTAATTGATCATGTGCTCTGGAGCATTCAGGTGTGTTAGCACAGTACCAACGAGGAAAAACAATACCAAAGATCTCAAAGAATCAGTTGTTTCTGCCCATCAGTCTTGATGAGTTATAAAGCTATTGCCTTCAAAATGAACTCCATCATTCTACAGTAAGAATTTTTCCCAACATTTGAGACAGCCGCCAATATTCCCAGGAGTTGATGTCCCAGTAAAACCCAAGGTCAGCCTGTGCAGTCCTCAGAGAAACTGGGAAAATACCCAAGAGACTAGCTCAAACTCCACAGGCCGCAGTTAGAATGTTAAATGTTAAAATGGTAAATGGCCTGCATTTGTATAGCACTTTACTCAGTCTCTAAGGACCCCAAAGCGCTTTACACTACATTCAGTCATTCACCCATTCACACACACATTCACACACTGGCAATGGTAAGCTACGTTGTAGCCACAGCTGCCCTGGGGCGCACTGACAGAGGCGAGGCTGCCGGACACTGGCGCCACCGGGCCCTCTGACCACCACCAGTAGGCAAACATGGGGTTAGTATCTTGCCCAAGGATATTTGGCATGCAGCCAGGAGGCAGCCTGGGATCAAACCACCAATCTTCTGATTAGTGGCTGACCTGCTCTGCCACCTGAGCTACAGCCACCCCAAAGTTTACAACAGTACAGTTAGAAAAAGACTGAACAAGTATGACTTGTTTGGAAGGGCTGCCAGAAGAAAAGAGCATATTCTCTAAAAACAACATGGGAGTCTGACTTAGATTTTCAAAGTTACATCTGATTAAACCACAAGACTTCCTGAAAAATAGTCCTCATTTATAGGGCTGCCAGGATTAGTCGACTAGTCACGATTACGCGTTGTTTGAAGCTTTGTAAGATCCCAAAAGACGCAGGAATAAGTAGTAGTATTTAAGAGTGTAATAACGGACTGAAACAGAAGATGGCAGCACTGCATGTACAAGGATGCCAGCTGCCGTTAAACCCCGAAGAAGTAGCTCTCTCCCAGAATTCATAGCGCAGCCCAGCTCAGTTTCCAACAATAGCGGCAGCTAGTTAGTTTTAATATTACTCTTATTATTCTTTCTGGGTCACAAAATAAACGTTTAACATATTTTTAGGCGAGAATGTAGCTGTGTAAACCTCAAATATCTGCTCAGTTTATCAAGACACCACATATTTTCAAAAGCGCTCCGGCGTTTTCGGAGACGTCTGTTACCCACTAGCTCGATAGCTAGCCGGGGGCAAGGCTCACTAGAGCCTGTGAGAACACTGGACTCCCGGCAAATCATTTTCAAACCCACCGCGGTCTTTCGCTACTCAGATTAAACATACATAAGTCACTTAGATAACTTAAAAATGTTATTGTTTGGCTTTTTTTTAGTATTTTATTTTTTCCTGAGTAAATCGGTTTGGCTGAGATTAAAGTTATAGTTTTTACACAGCTGAATAAACGTCAAGCAGACAGCTGATTATCAGAAGTGTGAGATGCTCGAGAATATACTCCGGTGTCCTGTTATATTTTAGATAGCAAGGAGTTTATTAACCTTCACCGAAACAACCTGCAAATTTCATTAAAATTTAATAAACTATCATCTTGTCTTAATTTTTAGTTAGCACATACCTTAAACACTTAAAGCTTTAAGCTAATGATAGTTATATAAGAGCAGATGCATGCTGGTGCAATAAGCTGTACGCTGTATGTCCAATGGATGCATGATCTGATTAGTCGACTAATCGCAAAAATAATAGTTTGTGGCAGCCCTATTTACAAATATATGCGTGGGACCGTTTCAGGCTTAGGCACTGTGTCAAAGTCTAACAGAAATACCTGTCCTGCAGACGAAGGACTGGTGGACGTACGAGTTCTGCCATGGCCAGCATATCAGACAATACCACCTTGAAGGTGAGAGGCCACTTCTCTGTTTTTTTGTTTTTGTTTTTTTTAACCTACAAGAGGCTTTCAGTTATTGTTTTTGACAAATTTTGTTCTTTTGTCCTTAGACACAGAGATCAAAGGAGACATTCTCTTCCTGGGTTATTATGAGTCAGAATTTGATTGGAGCAATGAAACAGCAAAGGTAAAGTTGCCTCTATGTTGTGGCTGATTTGCATGACTGTACAATATGAACCAAACAATCGTGGGTGCATCCATTGTGTTTTTTCTCTCAGGCCTCCAAACAGCACAGGCTAAAGCGGTACCACAGCCAGACCTATGTAAATGGCTCT